AGGAGACCGGTTAAATATGAATGGGAGGCGATAAGCATCTTAGACGGTTCTCGGCTTAATTGAGACGTATTTTCAGTGTGTGAACTTTAAAGCAAAACAGACTGCACAGGTGTGATCGATTCGTTAGGATAACCTGGAGAATTAACAGATGCTATATTTGTATGAGGAAAATTTGATTCAATTTGTTCCAATTTGTTTAATGAAGTTTTAACGTTTCATATCAGATTACTGATGGAAAATACTATCTGGGTAATGAGCTTGTTTGAAATGGAAATTGAAAATGGCAGCTTCAGCGTTCTCTTTTCATAGTTAAACATATTGTAAAATAGTGTATCATATTTAGTATCATACACATTGGTTACATTTAGTGTAAAACCAATGTTTGGCGATATTTGTTTAATAGGGAATTTAATAGGGCTTGAAATAATGACAGAAATACGGTCTGACAAGAAGAAACTACCTTTCATAATGTTTCGGATACAGATTATAGAGATACGACATTGACATTTGACTGAACTCAGTGTTTTCCTTCACATCTGAAGAACGTCAACTGGTCACGAAACCTGTCGTGCTACGATGCGCTCTTCCTCTGCCCTGATTAAAACACGTACCTTCATTAAGCCATATTCATTCGGGGGGATTAATTCATGGCCACCCTCAGTACTGAAGGAGGATACGCAGCCTAATTCGTTGACTGTTGGCTTAACGCAGTCAACGTTTCAACATAGGAATGTGTACTGTGCTTGTTTTCATGGCGTTGCTTTCCGAGTTCCTGCCATCAAGGCAAGGCCGAGATACTGTGATTTCTCGATGTATCGATTGAAGTGTTTTATAACGTGGAGCTGTGTAATACTGCCGTGCTATTTGTCGATTCTGTGTGAAGAGAGGTCGGGGACAGATTCACTCTGCAACCCGTCCTGATGAGCAGAATAAAGCCAACATTGTGTGACTGCAAAATGATGTCATCTGAGAGTTTGCCCTCAGCACTTTAAAGGTGTGCTGTTCCCATAATTGGTTTCCAGAATAATGCTTAGTGTTCTATAGAATTCTGCTTTAAGGTTTCGTAATTGTTTCTCGATGGTATGGATCTGATTGAATACTACCACACAGGCTCGTATATTTTGTTTCTATTAAACCGTCAAGGAAGATTGATGGCCCGTCAGGATGTTTGGAGTCAGGGCACATCAATTGCCCCCGACAGTTGAACATGTTGATCAATACTTCCTTCATCAATGTGGTTATTAAGATTTAAAAGTCATATTCATTTGCCATGTACACTTTTATTCAGACAGCAAAGTGAAGCAACGCTGTATAGAGAGCGATAGTGACATGATGGAAGATGGATGGTTAGATGAATGGAAGGATGGATGTGTATTAGTGGATGTATCAGCATATATTTCGTATCTCCTGTATGAGCCCCTTTCGTATTCCCCATGTATTAACTATGTATTTTGATGAATAACACCGAGCACCTGTTTATCAGTTGTATTGCCACAACCCGGGTCACTTATATATAATTACACATCAACATGAATTTGTGTAATTTATGAAATATATCAACACGCGTCCACCATAGTTTTAAACCTTTATCGACGACATTGTTGATGAATACATTTCACGTCAAAAGACAAGAGAATGAAATTTTCTTTATGATTCAAAATAATTCTTCCAACTTGTAAATAATAAAAAACCAATGTCTGTTACACCGTACAACTTACCATTTTTAATGGGAGAAAAGTTGGAGACGTCATTTGATTGTGACGTCATGATTACGGATGGTCACAATAATCTGATCAAGGAGAACTATTTTTGTCATATGTCCTGGCAATTTTAAGGGATCGTTCCACAAGACAATGTAAGGAATCAGACTGCACCCCCTCAGCACCGCGCCTGTCGTAGATTGTAAAACGCCCTGGTAAAAAGTAGTAACTGTTGTTCCAGTGTTATGTTTTGTTGAGATACTGTTCCACATGCCGAACGCAACACGACCACTGAGAATGCCTGTATGGTTAAGTACATAAACATTGGAATCCAGACCGTTGCCCTCATAAATATTATACATTTCCAGAGGAATTTGCAACAACGTCATGCCTTATCATCCATGCACAAAGCATCACACCATCTGCTACGCAGAGTTACAGCCGTTTAACAATCCTTAACGATGAACTGTTCTGATTGAGCAGTCAGCATCGTTCTAATCTTTACACTCAGTTCAGACAGCCTACTCGGATTCGTTACGCAGAATAATCTGATAATTAATGGTTACCCTAAAACACAGAAATGCATTCCATTCAGAGGGAACAAACATTCAAAGTCTTGGATACTGACCCCTCTATCTTTTGTAATGTCATCATATGAATAGTAACACAATAGCCGTCTATTACTGTGCTAAAACCACACGCGGTACGGTAGCTCAGTCCTTTGGGAAGCTCGTGCATGAATGTGTGTTGTACGCTAAAAGAGACCGGACAATACGTCTCATTTTGATATATGGCAGGTGCTTCTTTGACTTGTCTGAGGCGAGACAGAAACTGGAGTACATATACACATCAGAGTTCGGACGGATTGCGGTTGCCTCTATGTGTGTTTCTGAAGGTTTTATGGTAGATGTGTTAAAGCTATATCAAAATGTGCCGTATCGATGATCAAAATGATGTACGATGCAGTTCACTTAAGTACCATATGTTCAGGTGTGTTTTTCGGGTTTTTCATTCGTGTGTATCCGATGTAACCAATGGTGTAGGATGCTTTCAGGTGTTTTTGCGAACACCTGGGGTCATCAGTATTTGATAATGATATATAAACGGATGTTACTGCAATATTGTCTCTGTTCTCTGCCTTTCGACAATGGGCATTATCAACACTGGTACCAGCTGGATATATACGTGGATGGACCGTGAAATGAATTTGTCATTGTCTGAGTGTTATTCACAGTCGTTCTTTATATGGGGCTTCCGCATCAACATAACATATGACGTCACTATTAGAGGATGACGTCAGGGAGTGGGGTAAAATTACGTACTCACGTTGCAGGTGTAAAATAAACTTAAACTGAAGGGGCAAATGAGACTATACCCCTCCGTTACCTCAGTTTGATTGATTTTCAGTTGAATGTACTGTGATATTAGAATACAATTAACTGTATTGGCGGCAGCACACAAAGAATACTATTATGGATTAATTTCTAAACTTTAACTTGATTTAAAACATTTTAAAATTAGGGACACATCATACATAAATATCGATGGATATCTTTGACATCCTGTCTTCGAAAATCAATAAACGTGGGTTTTTTCCATATTTACATTTCAAACATGGCCGTGGTTTAGATTTCTACACTGCTGCAGGAGTAAGTCTTCTATTTACAAAAAGATATACGTTCTTTTTCCGCTCTTGATGTGAATGTGAGGACTGTGTTTGTTATATAAGATATATAGACGTATTTCGGCAACAGATTGTATTCTGGAAATGTAATATTTCATGGTATAGAAATAATCTAATATACATTCTGAGTATTCACGCTGAGGAGAAAGTTCTACACATGTGCTTCATTCTAAATGCACATTAAATTAGATTGTGCAAGCATCTTCATGAAAGCTCACGTTTCAGTAGCATACCAAATGTACCTCACATACATATAACAAAACGAAATCAAAGAATAAACACGCTAATTAAGGCCTATTGATGTGTTTACTATGTGTGCATTTATCAAACGTCAAAATCAATACTTCCTTCATATTTTATAAACTAAATTAGATAAGTACAAACAGTCCTAATTAATAACATACACAAACTGAGCCAAATCTAAACAGCGTGGAACAGGTACACAGTGTAGGCACATACGGTTCTCATTGCCATCAAAGTACTTCTCCATGCACTTGAGTGCATTTCAAAATGAAATGGACGACCGTTCACAGAAGCCGTGTTCCACTTCACAAAGGTGAGGTTAAATGGCTCCGGATAGTGCTTATCAATTATTGTAGAAGCTATAACCCCCTTAAAGGTCAGTAAAGAGGTAAACATTCCAGCTGATTAGGTGAACATAAGATGCGTTCGGTACTTTCTAAGGGAAATTAACGTATAGGTACCCTTAGCCTCCAGGGTTAGTTTGGTCTTCATTTCAGTACAATATCTCTGACGTAGAACGTTTGATGTTTACCGTACCATCGTATTTTGGGTGATGATTGAGCTACTACAAGCTCCCTGACCTTCGTTTCATTGCGGATGCATTTCTTTTGGAAACCATAGAATATTACTATTAAATGGTTATTTACTGCAATGGGTGATTCAAAGCCAGGGAAACCGATTTTACTGACTGGTATCAGTTCATAAACGTATCATTTGAACGGTCACCGCCGAATGTTTATCGTCATAGTCTCTGATGATGTTTGAATGTGTGCACGATTTACAATCCAGAATGTTTTGAGGCTTTGCAGTTTTTGTTATAGCTTAGTAGAATATTCTCGAGATGTCACGTTGTGTTTGGCTGAGAAAGTCTGAAGTATAACACCCCTCGTTTAAGGTGATTCCCCGATGTGTGGGCATGCTAACATTTTGACAAGGAAATTCCTTAAATTTTGTAGATTCAAATAGCAAAGTATATATGAATCTGTTTATATCCTACTTAAGTTGTCTGATGAGACACGGGCGTTAGGGGCCTCTGGATCTGGCTAGACCAAGAGTCAATGATCACAAGTGCTTTGCGATATGTAAAGCTATGGACTGCGTCTCTCTAGTCCGATATTGATTTCCCTTGGCTGGTCGATTGTGTTATTCTATTCCACAGTGAGGTGGTGTGAGTTCTCACCTACTGGACTTCACGATTCCAGTCTGAGAAATCGTCAACTGTTCTATGAAATCCAACCCCGCACGACTACCATACTGGCTACGTGTGTTATAATTAGTTGGTCTGTCCAAGTGTTGCCCTAATCCGCGTATCGTGGAACAATATTTGGTCAAATTGGATGAGCTTCTTATATCGATTCTCCTTTTGTTGACAGGAACATCCACCGAGGCACGTCTGTGGACCAGATGTCTGGTCCCAGGACCCCCCCGTCCGACCCCCTCCGGGCGGACGCCAGCCCGGGGAAGGGTCGGGACAGGGACGAGAAGAGGGAGAGGCTGCACCGAGAGAGGGACATCGACGGGAGCAACAGCTCGCTGGAGGACTCACCCAAACTCGTCACACCTCGTTCCTCTCCCTTGGTGCGGAGATCTAGCAATTCGCCCACAGAGTATCCCCACCGGCAGGGTTCTGAGAAGAGGCGGAAGGACTCCTCGTCCAGTGTGGCAGCTGCGACGGCAGACAGGGTTGCGCACATGGCCTCCCCTAAACTGGTCCGCTCCGATTCCGTCAAGTACTGCAAGCCGGCCAATGGGAGTGCTCATCGCTCGGGGCCTCATCCAATGGCGCACGGCACGCCACCTAGGCCCTCACGCCGCGTGCCAAGTTTGAAACTGAAAAGACTCAATGTCGGGTCAAAGGCAGAACCAGAAAAAGAAAAGCCAGAAGCGACTATGCCTTGTTTGCAACAACCTAACAATACAAACCCTTCCATAACCATCACTCTAGATTCGGACGATGACTCTGTGTACAGTGATTACTTAAGTCCGGAGATCAACTACAAAAATGAGAACAAGGTGCAATTTCTTGGCGACGAAACCAGTCTGTATGGGACACCGAAGGAGGAATTACTCCCTAATTCCACAGACAGTAACGCCGGGGACAGTAAATCCAGTCCAACAACTTTTCTAAAGGATCAGATATTAACTTTCTTTCAACCGTCGGACAATAAACTCGCAATGAAGCTGTTTGGAAATAAGAACGCTCTGTTGAAAGAGAAGATGCGACATAGGAAGGTCGGAAATTGGGTGATACATCCCTGTAGCAACTTCAGGTAAGCTTACCTCATTTCTTTACCTTTTCCTAACAATCACAAGAAGGTCTGGCATCTTTCAACACTGTACATGCCCCCGTCTGTCACCTCTTATAGTTGATAAACCACTGATGCCTCATCTTGTGAGAGGATGCACAATGTATACATCTCTTCCGTGTACTGCGCCAGTCTAGCATCTCCACATGCCCTCAAGAACTAAATTGTTCTCGCGGTGGTCTCAATAAAGAAATAACATAGGTTTTACAGACTATGTAGAGCTTCATGTGGACTTCTTGTTTGTGTTGGTATTCTTTAAAGATTGCCATGTGCTGATCTGTTAACTACACGGTTGTCCAGACAAGGAACCCGTGCTGCGTATCACAGCAAAGCCAAAATTTACATTTTTCAGAAATGAGTAGCCTCATCCTCAGAGCTCAATGTTTGAAGGAGCACTTGTGAATGGAATGCCTGTTTCGCGGTGATTTATTACAAACCCAGCCATTTCTAAACCACAACTAGGACGTCAATAAGCCAGTGATTTTATGGCATTGTAAAGTACTTTATAAGTAAAAGATAGCATCGTCCAAGGTTGCAGGAAATTGAGTTACAGAAAAGACAAGTGCGATACATACCTCCATTAGCTGCATACATGTTGTTCAATGTGTTATGGTTTAGTACCTGTAATGCCAAAACGAATGATGGGAGCTTTTGAATAGGTTTTTTATTTTCTCATCAAATGTAAACAAATTTAAGAAAGAACACAGTAATTGTTGACAGTAAAAACTTGTTGAAAGCTCTCGACGATTATGAGATTCCGTTGCCAGGGTTTATTACCCTATCCTTCTCCCAGAAAAAAGGTATACACGAGAACGAGTGTGAGCACGACCTCCTGACTCCTAATTACAGGCAGATAACGACGTTGTGACATGTTTTTAATCCAACGTTTTACCGCGTGAACCCGATAAACTTGGAACAATATAAGGTCGTTAGGCTGTCAACGAATGGCACCTCTCAGTAACTTCGTTTCGTATCTTGATGGCCTGGTTTGAAGGGCAATGCGTAGTCCGAAAAACAATCAGAACAAAAATAACCCCCAAATCAAATTAGGCCCATTCTTAACCCTGTTGTTGAACCGCCACTCTTAGTTAATGGCAACCCATTGTCAATTTTGATTTTTATCTGAAAAGTATTTAACCAACCTCTGAATAAACAATTTCCTTCCACGAACCGTAGCCTAAGGCCACAATACAAAATGAATGAAGACGAAATCTAGACGAAAGGAAGTTAAGGGCCAATCAGTGCCTTCATTTAGGCAACTCTTCATCCTTGGAGGGAATTACACGCCAACCACGTATGAAGGTAATGGACGAACGATAGTTAATGTTAATTCGCCATCATGAAAAAGACGCCAGGATGAGTAAAAAAGGATGAGGTTTGTCTGTGCCTTTGTTATATACCGTGTCGGAGCGGCAGGCTATCTCAATTTTAGCTATATTTAGACTTAATAACACAGTTATGGCCCTTTGTTGTTGGCTTGGACTGCATGATGGACACGGCTTGGCGTAACCTTCCAGTGAAGTCGTGGACATGGAGAGAATGAGACATTCATCCGTTTTGGCAGACTAATCAAATAAAGTGTGCATACCATGTCATCACGTTCGGGGCTATCCTCGGGGGGCAGCGTATTTCATTGGAAGACGTTGATGATCTTATAAAGGGAACGAAGGAATGCAAGCATGGCACTTAAGATTGGTCTGGAGAAGATAAACAATTTTTTTCTTACTGTTCATTGGATCTATGATTTTGCGTTAACCTAACATTCAACATCTCTGTGAAGATGTAATAGGTATTATTTCCGTCTAGGTTCTGTTGGAAAGATGATTTAATGTACCGGCAGGACAGTTAGTACAATATTAATAATGGACAGACCATACCTGTACTTCATTATTACTCAAGGGAGCTTTATACGTATACTCATTATTAATGTGATCGAAGAATGCATGTAAACTTCACTATATGCTGCAAGGTGAACATGTTTGATCGATTACCAATGAATGTGTTCAAGGCTTTAATGTCAAAATCGAAATGTTGATCAGTGTTAGGTGTCTTCAAGAGATATCATCTGAAATCTACCACCTGCGTCCCCCAGTGAAACGTAATGCCATGTATACACCATCATTCGTGTAGCCTACATGGAAGCACGGTAATACATTGACTTCTAAACGTAATGTATGCAACCTTTTAAGGGATAAGTAACTCTGTGATACTATAATCCAAGTATGACAATTATTTGTCATAAATACATGAGGATTTCTTGTATAACATGATATGACTGAAAAGTGTCCAAAGCTATCAGCATACGAAATATATCAAATTAACAATAACGACTACATTGCATCACTCAATGTTGAGAACAACGATGAAAACTGACGGACAACGCTATATAGATATATTCAAACAGGATATAGTGTGGCCTGGTTATACGATAGAGACGGTAAACGATCAAACAAATGGTTTAACATGTATTTAATATGAACGTGCAGATGTGGCGTTGAGATAATATTCATAATATATACTTTGGCTACGGAAACAGCTTTATACTTTCTGTCGATAATTCAGAAACATATTTTGAACCAACTAAAGTCGGAAATGTAAAGATCATCTGCACCCGCGTTCTTCTTTCTTTTCAGCATCCATTTTGTGTCAATAAGGATGCTACATTAAGCTCAGGATATCGGGACCTTGTTATTAACGGCAATTATCACTTATCGTTCGTAAAGTGAGCGTTGCAGTGTAGCAACTTCCACACAAATTCACACGAGCATGTAATTCAGGCCCCGATTTCTCGAAACAAACTTTTATATTTTGAAAATGCAGTTGAGTTAGAAATTCAGCTGTTTCAAATTGTGAAACTCAGTTTGAGATTTGAGTAAAAACTTAAGTTTGTTTCGAGAAATCCAGGCCTGATCTCTGTAATGGCATGCATCTTTCACAGCATGAAAACAAACGGAAAATATATATTCTGGTCCTGCTTGATCAACCCGTGTGTTCCACCTTTCAGAAACAGGAATGCATGTAGATCCTTAACAAACGCGTTGCATATTATATTATTTGTCCAACAGTTATTGCCAATATTCCAATCGAAGATGAATCAATTTATACATATAAAATAATCATCATCTTGATTTCTATCATTTCAAATCAATAAACAAAACATATAAAAGCAAAATGTAAACAGTCCGACGAAGACATCCAACACATAATCGTCCATAGAAATGGCTTGAATGACACCAGGTGTCAATGGACCAACCTGACTGGCATGTCTAGCATCACAAACTATTGTTCTAAATAATTTGGTACCCATTATATAACGAGATATGATTTAGCTTCTTGATATGCAATTCATCTTACAACGGCAAGTTTATTATTGCTGAACAGAATTATATGACGTCACATGCTGGGCATTCCACTTTAAACAAGCTACCAACGCAGCAAAGCTATCATTATTGAGCCAGGCGACACAACTTGTGAACCATTATGTACAACACATGCAGTGTACATGCTGTAACCGAATTTCCATTCTTTATGATCCATTAAACACGATACTATTAAACGTTATGTGCAATGGGCCTTTGAATAAAACAGAACAATCATTAGTAACTATGAATGAAAACCCTATCAAATCAAACCCTAACCACGAACGTACCCCAGTTATCTGAAGACCACAGGTTTTTATTACAGCAGTTCACGAGGGCAATACACTGTTTTATTTGGTGATTATTTAGCCATGTGTTAAACAACGCAGGCTATGTTCTTCCATAGGGATGTATTAGCACGTGCTTGCCAGGAAGCGTAATGGTAAACCGTCATTGCCTCGTGTTCTTGTAACGTTTGCCCATTGATTTACAATACTCTGTGGCCAGGTTATCTCATATCTGGCATGCCATCCACAGCACCGCCTTGAATGTACCAGGACTTGTGAAAGTTCACCGATAAAATTGTTGATTAGTTTTGGAGTAATATTAGTTTTGGGAAAATGTTAATATTCATGATAGGAAACCAGATTTCCGAATTTCTAAGAGCTATCTGAAGCTATGAAATTGAAAGCGATGCTATAAATTGTTCGAATTATTCTTTGTAGCCTGAATTTGTAGCTGATTTGGTCTGGAACTCACGATAAAATGGATTTTGTTGCTCATGTTCTTTGAAACTGTAGTTTTGATGTTTTCACATAAATGTTCTGTATTTTATGTACTGTAAGATTGTATGTACTTATAGAGTCGGGTAGATAAATAAAGATTTCCTGTATTTAGTTAATCTTCAACATGAGATATTACACAGGTGAAGCAAAGTCTCGTTAACATATCCCAACATGTAGTAAAAATATTTTCATTTTCTCAATGTAATGCTAGTTAATTAAGTTAATCAAACTAAAAAGAATTTCCAATATACCTGGCCAGGTGAGATTCTCTCTATATAGAAAGAGGCAGAGGCCAGCATTGGTACAGTGGTACATACATGTAGAAATCCACAAAACATGACACAACACGAATTTCCCTTCATTTACAACGATAACTACAAAGTACAGATAGATGTTTAGTTCAGACACATTCAAAGAAGGACACCTTTTGATTTAATCTGCATTGTATCAACTTTATTCATTGTTTAAAAAGCAAACATTCTAAGCTTCCATAATCCTGTTGTGCATGTATCAATGTGAACGCTTAAGGAGATGCGCCTTTTCTTGTGGTGATATATAAATATATACAGAGAGAAACATTATACATATATATCACCCAAAACAAGGCGCACGATTAACTGCTTTTGTAAGCAATAACAGTTCATTACAACACAACATAGAACTTGTATACAAGAATTTACAACAGTGTCCCTGTGTCTTCCTCACCATCAAGAAGACGTGTGATATGTGTTCAAATGTCCTGCCTGTGTGTCATTGATACATCGCTTTGCGAAAGAGGCGTAATTCCTCACGAAAGGAGCGTTTATATTGTTCAGGAACT